TAGTATATTCAATGAATTTCACTAACTTTGAATGTTCAATGAATTTTCCATCATCCGTAGCTGATGATTTGACGTCCAACGTGTATGATAAACTTCCGGCTTCAAAAGTTCGTACCAAGTGAAGAAAAATGGTGGAGTTAGCACAGTCATGCAAAGAAGCCGAATTTTTGTTCGCTTACTGGATTTTCGGTGCTTTAACTCCAAAAACTATTCTTTGCATCTTCAGTATAATTCTAAGCTGCTCGCAATGTTGTTTCACGCATCAAATTTACACGGCTAAACAAATCGAAATAATCATTTTGCTAAGCATAGAAGACATCTCAGAAATAAATCTCTGCCTCATAAATCTAGGTTCTTATGGCTCGGTCAATGGGCAATTTCCTTATGCGCTGTTGAAGTCGCAAGGCATTCATTTCACATAGCTAATAGTATAGCTTGATAGGACGATACCGTCAGCGAAAAAAAATAGTGCTGACTCACAATTAATAATAAACATCTCTCAGAGTGATGTAGTTCTAATTTTGAAGACTGAGCCCCCTAACCCTTACTGAGCAGTTACCTTAAGGAAAAAATTTTTTCTCTTCATTGTTGATCACGGCAAACCCTTTCAGTAAGCTCAATGTAATATACTAAAAACAACAGTCACCGACGATGATAAGAATAAAAAATATTAGGTTGGTGCAAAAGTAATGCAGCTTGATTTGGTTCGAATGGCCAGAATATTGGAATGGTCAACGCTGAGTTTTTTTGCAATATCTCGTAGAGTTCCAAGATGTTAAACATTGATGACTGCTTCCCATGACTTCTGATGAGATTTGTGATTAAGTAATCGCTGTTTCTACATTGTTCAAATGTGTCTACATTACAAACTTCTTAAACTGTCATTGCAATGCATGTTCGTTAGCAGTCCCTAAGTCAAATACTTTGTTAATGCTGCGAGTTCTCTCTGCTGCTTTATAATCCATTCTGAACTCACGGTCTGAAACTGCAATGAATTTTGCATCGATCAACATCCTTTCCATAGTCTGAAGTGAATAAAAATCAAGCAGCAGTAGTACGTCATCAGCAGAAATGCGCATAGAAATTATTTGTAACATCACCACATTTAGTCAAGATTATATTCAAATATCAAACGGTGTATTTCATCAATGCATAAAGTGCAGTTGTTTTTCGCCAACCCTAATAGAGCATATTCATGCATAAAAAATGCCGCATCAATGCATTGTGTTTACCAATCCAATTAAATCTATTGTTTTTGTTGCCGCAGTGCTAACTATTATATGCTTGAGTATTGACTGCCTTTTGTTTTTGTCCAGTATTTCTTAGTGCACACATTTTCAACCTCTAAAATTGGTATTCAATGGAATTATTGTTGCAATAGTATCGCTGTACAGGGCTCAGTGGTTAGAGAAGTCTTCCGGCACACATGTGGTCCATGGTTCGATCCCGCGCCCAGGGCTCACCAGTCGCTTCATCCCTCCATGGTCGGCGACTTAGTACTACATTTGACTGAGCGGATAGCGACATTGACCTCGGATGGTAACAAAGAGTCATTGTGAAAGCCACACTGATGCTCGATCACGCTTGATGAAGTCAAATGCTTATGGCATCCCTCAGTGACTATCCAACCCCGAGAGTATTTTAGTATTAGCGAGTGAGATGAGATCCTTTATGAGCGACAACAGAAACTCAAAAGCTCCTAGGTGGATCCTCGAAAATCAGCATTCTAGGTCTTGTATGTTTGAGAAAGATTTTTTCAAAATTTGAACGTTATGATGTCGTTGTTTCCAATGCTAACACATTCAAAAAATCGCATTTTGGAACGAATTATTTCAGAAAATAGTGGTGCAGCAATACTACGACTTATTCTGGCTGCACACAAGATCTCTACGCATTAATCTTTGAGGGAACATCCGCGAGATGAGAATTCCTTAAGGCTATGCGAAGAGAAATCAGATTACAACTAAGTCGAATAGAGGAGTTCGAAGTATGCTGCTCTCTCTGACGAAATGTTAACTTCAATAAACCGTTAGAAATGAAAATCAAAGTGATTCCAAGATCATGTTGAAAGAATTTTGCTGAAATGTAAATCACTATCATAAACAGAAAATACCTCGTCGCATGAAGCAAACCTGGTAGACAGGACAATGAAAGAAGAACTGATAACTTTTTAAGTTCACGCTGATATGAAAATGAAAGGCACATAAGAGATGAGCCGTGAAAATCCTAATATTAGTAATAGTAATTCGCCACAGGCGAATTACTATCAAACTTGACATTACCTATTTATAGGTTAGGAACAAGAAGTCGACAACTTATGGAAAGAGTTGTGAAAAAGCTCAATCAAGTAGAAATTTGATCCATTTGAGCCTTGTACTAAAGGTTATATTACATACATCATGTTAGCTCATCAAAAGCCTACGAGTCTGTGGATTTATGTAATCATCTGTGCCATTTGTAGGAACATCAATTATTATGTGACTCGAGCGGACTTCAACAAAGCTCACTTATCTCGCATCAAAACTGCTCGATAAGCTACCTCGCTCAGCATAACAGTCTTGGTATGATAAACTTTTGATAATGTATTTGACAATTACAACAGCACACGATTAAAGCAATGTTCCGCCTTAAAAGGAAAAATATATACCTGACAAGTGGAGAAGTTATGTACAGTGATCGCGTGACAATTGACTGAAGGGATCTTTGCAAACTACCGCTCACTGTAATGAATGAGTGCCCTTTGTTCTATTTCTAAATCCAAAAGTGGTCGATAGAAATAGGCTTCTGAGCAAACAGAAGTTGCATGGATGAAATACAAGGATTTGGTCATATCAGCACTGCTAAATGACTACTGGTTCATGTTTTTCTGATTTTGAAAGGCGTTTGGCAAACGTCGAAAGAAATGAGGCTAAAACCGCTTGTTGATCAACAAGTGGGCATGCTTTGCATAAGAACTCTTTAAGAGGCCGATATTGCAAATGCAGTAAAAGAATGCAGCCCTTATCAATCCCATGGGAAATAGCTTTAGATAGGAAGACATCGATTCGCCAAAGCTATTCACCGTTATATTACTGAAATAGAAGCCACTCGATATGAACGATATATATCTAAATGCTGACAAAAATTGTCTACCAAGCCTTCGTTTCGCACGCGATTTTAGCATTTTTCAACAAATACCGATAAGGCAGTGACTACGCATGAGAGGTGTGGGCGAAATAGCAAAGAATGTGGAACTGAGCATGAAAGGGAATTCGAAGTGTCATAAGGAAAAATCTATGAAGAAGTCGAGTAAAAGCAAAAAATTTCTTTATTAGCGTTTCTATCTGAAGTTTGTACATGGGAACTAAAACGACATGAATGAACAGTTGTACAAGAATAAAAAACAATGTGACTAGATCAAGACCCTCTAGAGAAACTACCCATCAAGATGACAGTTGGCCTTTTTCAAGAAATAGGCCTTTACCCTCATGTTACCCTCATAATCTGATATATGAATCGTAATTATATTTAAGAAGATTTCATGATTCGGAAAATTCATAAATATCTTCTTTGGAGGACTTGCTGAATATATATGAAAACGAAGTACAAATGCATGGTATTGAATTTGACTACAAATAAGGGACAAGAGCAGTCAAATTCCAAGTAGAAGTAAGTGTGCTTTGTTTCCACCACTTGCAAAATAGGCAGGCGTGTATGTGGCTTAGTCAATTAGTTGCCTTCGCAGTTGAAAATGATTTATGGTTCACGAAATGATGCATCCATCACAGAGATCACATCAGACCACTGCCATAAATGATGACAATAAAGAAATGAAACCGATGGAGAATATAATAAGTGGTCTTCGTTCCTTAATAGCAGGCTCTTAAGAAAAAACCATGTGCCATCAGTGGTCATAGATGTTTGCGATATACGAAAGTGTGATTTGTATTATACATAATCTCCAAATCCAAATTTCAATTTGGGCGCTTGTTCAAGAGTGACCCAGCCTCGGATTCGCATCAAGAAGGTGATCGTGAAGCAGTAAAACATTTGTATATGCACTCACTCTTCGCATATAAAATATCGACAAACTTTGCTGGAAGCGTAATACAGTTCCAAGTGGAAATGAGTGATTCCGATACTCTACCTCCTCATTCATTCTTTCTTTTAAAATATAGAGTTTTCTTTTGGCATTTCGGAAATTTTGTTTGCTATGTATGATGATTAAATGTCCTTTCTGAACGGCTAGGAAATTGTCTGCTTAATATGTTTCGTCCTTGATCATTAAAACAATTCAAAGGACTTCAGTAGTTTTTTCTCCTTTTAGTAAGAATTCTGAACTTGCTCTTCAAGTGATATGTAATAATTTAGATATTGTCTTCATTCCCGCACCTTGTTGAACAAAGTTAGTCAAAATAAGAATTGATTCACATAGCTTCAGCTGAATATAAAAAAGTGTTTCAACATAACATACTGAAATAAATCTCAATAGAAACCGTGTATCGCCTATAATGCTAAATCGTCGCCAAGGAGTTCAGGTGCTAGAGCATAATAGAGGTTGAAGTGTCCTATAATATACTACGTTATCGTTGAATCTCTAGACGCCTCAGAGTAAATGAGCTCATCTTCCTTTCGGAATGAGCAATAGGAACGAACGTTGCAGAGGTTAAAAGCACTAATTCAATATATCGACGAGCAAATAAAAGTCATTCTAGAAGCCAACTATGCATTGAAACAACATTGAATGAAGGGAACGCATTTTCATTACTTCGGGAGTGATGAACACCGAAAACACGATCTTCGTTTTTCTGTCATAAGCGCATGCCATTTGCAGTATGACTACAATGATTGAGATATGCAACATGATGTGCAAATCACATCATTATGTTACATATAGTATGCATTATGGTATCATTAGCAGACGAATTATTCAGTATTCAAACAAACAGAACTGCACTTTGAATTTTTCAACGCAATTTCGTCCAATATACCTAAGAGAATTGGGTGGTGAGCAAAAACACAACCTCAGGCGGGAGTCGAAGCCGCATTTCATCCACGCCGGGGACGTGTGCTACCACTACACCACCGAGGTACATTCGCACCCCACTCATTCACCGTTTCCTACAGCCTTTCGACTGCACTCACTTTGCAGTTGTTTATGGAATATGTGGCGCTTCACTGAAAATTTTCGTCAAGCAATTTTATCTTTCGAACAGTTAAGCAATTGACTGGTGAATTATATCCCTGGTAACTGAATTGATTTTATTAGATGTTAACTAAGATCGCTAAATAAATGAATATGGTATGCTATAGTGGGTCTAGGCACGAGGAATCGAATGTCAGCCATTGTTTTCAAAAAAATGACCATTTCAGTGCAAATTTTCAAAGGACAGCTTGTAAGTTTGCCTTTCAAAACCTTTTCTAGTCCATTCGCTACGGAAGTCGTACTCAGAGAACGGCGGCCACTTTATTGGTTTAGTCGATGTTTGTCTTTGAGTCTAGAAAATGATTCTCTGCTAAAATGCAAGCATGATGTCAAGTTAACAAATATTGATGTTTGGGCAGGCCTTTCATGAGAAAACCGATTACATCATTAGCTACAGCAAACAGCTTTGATTTAAGGTAAGAAAACTGGTACGGAGGTGTTTTACACTCCAAAACAGTAAAAGGAATACAGGAGTCAAGTGTTAAATTCAGAGTACTCGGATATTAGTAGTGTTTGACCATGCGAACATAAAACGATGCGTTCAACAATTTAGGACCGATGTGTCATTCCAGCTCATATGATACTAAAGTAGTGACCATTTCCAAACTCTAAACCATCATTTCCTATCTTTGCCGAGAACTTTATTCGTTGCAACAAAGAGTAATAAAAGCTAAATCCTGCCTCAACTGGAAACATTAGATATAATTATGCCTTTTTCGCAAGCTTGTTTTTTGAAAAGCAGGCAGTTGAACAAGGGTATGTAGTCCTCTAGAATACTCGGTTTTCCTAGATGGTTTTTCCAACTGCAACTGCTTGAAGTTCGTCTAATGATTAATACTTACTCATGAATTGATGGGGAAGGTTTTTTTTCCGAAAGTATTGTCGTTTTTACCTTTTCAACAATTTCGAAAAAATTATCAGCAGGCTGTGAAAAACGAACTTCGGACTGTAAAGAGAGAAGGCGACATCAATTCTGTCACATGAGCTATAAGAACGCTGGGAACAAAAAAGCGAATACCAGGGTTATTTGCTAAATTATTTTTAGTAAACCGTCTCCCATTCTTGCTCTGCATCGTTACATTATTTCTTTGTTGTAGCTGTTGAATAGTTTTTTTTTTTGATAATTGTTATTCCTTCTATCTTTGAGGGAAATTAAGAAGCCTTATAATTGTATTATTGATTTCTGCAGTTGGCAGGAGTAGTTTTGAAAAATTCGGGCAGAATTAGAGGCAAAAACTCTTCAAAATATGAGTGCTTATTGCGCTCAGTACTTGAAGGCTCCTTTCCGATGTACATGCTTGTTGATTCGATCAAATTGGCTCTAAGCAGACGCCTCACTCTGCATGGACAAACTGTTGAGACATTACGGGGAGGATGAAAGCACTGAGTTGATCGATCATTCGAACTTCCAGCAATACATCCCAAAATGCATTCAGTCATTCTCAACGATGTTTATGATGGACTTCAATGGATGGCGTATCCCTGAGGGACAGATTATAGTACAGTATGTCTTTCACTTTTTCATTTCTAGATGTCCCGATCTTTTACTGACGGGTAAGTGCTTAGAGTTTTTGAGTCGAAATTGCTCAACAGAATATGTTATGGACAACTTTGAGCTTTCTTTGCGCTCTTCAATCACTCGAGTTCAATCACAAAATTGAGACTTAAGGAAAACTTAAGTAAAGCCAGAACTAATATATGGATCAATATAGTAATTCATTTCAGATGTTAGGCATAGATCACATTCGAACAAGTTTGCTTCAACTGCTTTGGATTATCTCTCACTGCATGGTGTTACAATAACAAATAATCCTTCTTCTACATTATCAGTTATAAAGTCTGATAAATTGAAATTCGATGGAGAGTCGGGAAAACAAACAATTTTATCGGTCTCGCAGGATATTACGCACTGTTTGCCTTGCTACGTTATGTAAAAAGTCTCGATAAATCAAAGCAGCATGTAAAACATTGTTCTCGTTTTTAGCTAGTAATTTATGCAGATCTTCAACTCTAAAATAGCTGCATAGGGGAGTATCCATAGAGTTCAATAAAACTACCGCTGTTTGGCTAATCTCATTCGCTCATAGTAAAATTGTTCATTCATGTGCCTTTAATAATTCAAGAGATCTTCTTTGACGATCCAAGCTCATAAATTGTATCCGCATGAGTGGCTACTCACGTGCATGAAAAAAGACCAAAAATTCTCAAGGAATTTCCGGAAGTGAATACGAGACTATATAGGAATTTTTTAGCAAAGAAAGTGTTTTCATGCAAGTTCACCCATCAAACAGTTCGAAATGCTTGGAGTAGGGAGATAGATCCCATTAGTTGTTCTGTTTATAGAGTTACAACAGCAATTTGGAAATTTGGAATCTGTGGAGTTTTCCGCTTTTCAGTACGAAGTATGTGAAATACAATGCAAAGTTTCTAAGATATGAGCAAAACTTTGAACCTGAGATGGCTTTGGGCTAGTGATTATCCTACTCAAGACTCGCTTGTTATCCACCACTTTACCGGGGCTTTGCTCCTCCTTTACCTTGGCTATATTCTTATCTTATCGGTATGAGCAATGTCACAAATCACCTGTTGAAAGACTGATCTGAGAGCACTTCAGCACTAAAAGCTACTCAGTAACCTGTCCAAATAATCAGGAGCGCATGTCTCACAGCGATTAATGGTGTTCTTCGTCGACACAAGGTTGATGTTTCGATATCGCACTGATCGCTCACCAAGTCATCCGCCTTTTCTTTGGTCTGTAAATTAGTACCAGACTTGCTTGGGAAAGTAAGCAGCAGGGACTCGCTGCGGCGGTAGGCCGTGAGGAGTCGCTGTTAGAGCCAGATAGCATATGAATGCCTTGAACGAAACCACAAATCGACGACGAATGCAAGGAGTATCTTTCACGGATTGATCAAAGCCAGAGCTTTATCATCTCAGCTTTATCGATTTATTGAGTATTTTCTATTCCAAGTTGAGTTATTCTTAAAAGGTTGAGGAATAATTGAAAACGTTTCAGTAACACCCGAATACGGCCGTAGCGCCATCGTTCGCTACTCATTTAAAAGGGCTTACTGCAGAGTGAGGCGATGACTCCACCACCTCAACCATGGCCGAAGTTCATGCTTGAAAGATTATACTTTCGGTTTTCTGAGATTGGCAGGACATGTTGTTTTGAAAACCGCTTGACATCAAACAGACAATGAGTGTTGACGTGTCTCCCTTTTCCAGAATAACACCCGGGCCACCATATCGCAAAGGGCTTCTCACATTTTGTGTAAATTGGGCTGGATTACGGTACTACATCCATTGTACAGCCCTATTTTGCTTCATCAGATTATCATCTCTGGTACACCATGAACCATCACATGCGGGAGATTTATTTAAACACGACAATCCGCTTAAAAGGTCCCATCAACTTTTTTGATCGCCAATTTCATTCTCCTTGGAAGTTTGGCACCCAATCTCTGCTCAGTAAATGTTCATATCGACCATGATGTGAATATATCGTTGATCATCTGATTCTTTTGGATAAATAATCTTAAAATTGATACAATGTCGACACGCGAAATGGGACAACCCAATAGTTGCAACTATGTGAATCACTAACGGCTTTGACCCTCTCTACCGTTTACACACCGACAATAAGACGAAGACAAAGTCACAGCATTCTACATGGGTTCAGAAAAGTTCCTCAGGGGACATTCCAAGGTCATTGTTGAATTTTGCTACTTCAACAGAGTTTTCTTTCCTCGGAAGAAGCTATGCTATGGATTTCTAGAGCCATCATTAGAAGCACTTTTGAGTAGAATGGCAATCTGCAATTTTGTGGCTGGCAGAAAACTATTTCTAGTTGGGTATTTTGACAGGAGTGTATGGAGTTACCCTCGCCCTCGCGTAACCTTCGCTTATAACACTCTAAAATCATGAGCAATGAACATCGAGTTTTATCGATGTTGATGTCGAAAAATCCGTTGAAAAATTTATGAAGAAGAAGAAATTGCTTTCGAGGAAATACGCCAAGCGATTATTGTTTGTGATGAAAATTTTAATTTTTTGAGTGAGTAGTTAATGGAAGAAGAACAAAGTAAAAGACGAAGGCGAACTGCCGAAATGTCAGCTGTTGATCAAATGAGGAAATTATAACACCTCATATTTGGCTCACAGAAGAAAAATTAGGATATATCAGAATAAAGTGAATTAATAATCAGAGGTGGATTGAAAAGGGGAAAAAGTCATTGGTCATGAATCGAGCGGCCAATTTTCACTAAACCTCGGGATGTAAAATTAGGAATGAAAATTCAAAAATATCTCGCAAAGTGATTTCTATACAAAACTTGCGTGAGTTGTTAGATGTTCCTCGAAATCGATGGCTGTTTGGGTAACTTTGTCACCCTCGGTACTCAAACTTATGCGATATAACGTTATTCGTCACGTTGCAATGTTGCAAAAGACCGAGCTAGGGTGATCCATATGGAGACAATTGACTGTAAAAGTGTTGGGAAGGGTGTCGGACGAGTCACTTGCGTTATACTAGCCTGCATTACTAACCATTCCGACATTGTCCCCGGCCGCCCGTCAATAAATACCTAGATTTTTTCAAAACTATGGATTTCGCCTTCCACTTCATCCGTGAGCGGTCGGTTGATTTTCTTACCCAACACTGCTTTTGATTTCGGTCTAATATGATCTCCGAGTCAACTAGTAAGAAGCTCGCCCAAAGATCCGTTGCCGAAATCCATTCCTTAGAAATGACATCATAGAGAGCTAAAAAATCCCTTGCAAGTTCACGTCAGGAAACCAAGGAATATTATATGCACGACGAGCAATATACCAATCAGAATATGTGCTGGGGCCGGCACAGCTATTGAAGACAGACTATGTAAGTA